AGGTGTTCTTTGAAACCAAAGAGAATGAAGACGCAATGTACCATAATCTCTGGGACACATTTAAAGCAGTATTTAGAGGGAAATGTATAGCAATAAATACCCACATGAGAAGCAAGGAAAAATCTAAAATTGACGCCCTATCATCAAAATTGAAAGAGCTACAGGAGCAAGATCAAAAAAACTCAAAAGCTAGCAGAGGACAACAAATAACTAAGATCAGAGCAGACCTGAAGGGGATAGAGACACAAGAAACTCTTCGAAAAATCCATAAATCCAGGAGCTGTTTTTTTGAAAGGTTCAACAAAATAGACAGACTGCTAGCCAGATTAATAAAAAAGAAAAGGGAGAAGAATCAAATAGATACAATAAAAAACGATAAAGGGGATATCACCACTGATTCCACAGAAATACAAACTACAATCAGAAATTACTACAAAAACCTCAATGCACATAAACCATTATATCTGGAAGAAATGGTTAAATTACTGGACACTTACACCCTCACAAGCCTAAACCAGGAAGAAGTTGAAACCTTGGATAGACCAATAACGAGGGCTGAAGTTGAGGCAGCAATTAATAGCCTAACAACCAAAAAAAGTCCAGGTCAGACGGATTCACAGCTGAATTCTACCTGATGTACAAAGAGGAGCTGGTACCATTCCTTCTGAAGCTATTCCAAACAATCCAAAAAGAGGGAATACCTCCAAAACATTTTATGAGACTAATATCATCTTGATGCCAAAACCTGGCAGAGACTTAACAAGAAAAGAAAACTTCAGGCCAATATCCATGATGAACATAGATGCAAAAATCTTCAAAAAACAGTGGTAAACTGATTGCAACAGCACATCAAAAAGCTTATCCACCATGATCAAGTAGGCTTCATTCCGGGGATGCAAGGCTGGTTCAACATACGCAAGTCTATAAACATAATCCACCACATAAACAGAATCAAAGACAAACACCACATGATTATCTCAATAGATGCAGAGAAGGCCTTCAATGAAATTTAACAGCACTTTATGCTGGAAACTCTCAGTAAACTAGGTATTGAAGGAACATATCTCAAAACAATAAAAACTATTAACGACAAACCTACAGCCAATATCATACTGAGTGGGCAAAAACTGGAAGCATTCCCTTTGAAATCTGGCACTAGACAAGGATGCCCTCTGTCACCACTCCTATTCAATATAGTATTGGAAGTTCTAGCCAGAGCAATTATGTAAAATAAATAAATAAATGAATAAAATAAAGGGTATTCAATTAGGAAAAGAGGAAGTCAAATTGCCTCTATTTGCAGATGATGTGATTGTATATTTAGAAGACCCTATCATCTCAGCCCAAAATCTCCTTAAACTGATAAGCAACTTCAGCAAAGTCTTAGGATACAAAATCAATGTGCGGAAATCACAAGCATTCCTATACACCAATAACAGACTAACAGAGAGCCAAATCAACAAACTCCCATTCCCAATTGGTACAAAGAGAATAAAATACCTAGGAGTACAACTAACAAAGGATGTAAAGGACCTCTGCAAGGAGAACTACAAACCACTGCTCAATGAAATAAGAGAGGACACAAATAGAAGGAGAAACAATCCATGTTCATGGTTAGGAAGAATCAATATCATGAAAATGGCCATACTGCCCAAAGTAATTTATAGATTCAATGCTATCCCCATCAAGCTACCAATGAACTTCTTCACAGAACTGGAAAAAACAACCTTAAACTTCATATGGAACCAAAAGAGAGCCCACATAGCCAAGACAATCCTAAACAAAAAGAACAAAGTCAGAGGCATCATGCTACCCGATTTGAAACTATACTACAAGCCTACAGTAATCAAAACAGCATGGTACTGGTACCAAAACAGAGATATAGACCAATGGGTCAGAACAGAAGCCCTGGAGGCAATGCCACACATCTACAACCATCTGATCTTTGACAAACCTCACAAAAACAAGCAATAGGGAAAGGATACCCTGTTTAATAAATGGTATTGGGAAAACTGGCTAGCCATGTGCAGAAAGCAGAAACTGGACCCCTTCTTGACATCTTACAATAACATTAACTCCAGATGGATTAAAGACTTAAACATAAGACCTAACACCATAAAAACCCTAGAAGAAAACCTAGGCAAAACCATTCAGGACATAGGCATAGGCAAGGACTTCATGACTAAAGCACCAAAAGCATTGGCAACAAAAGCCAAAATAGACAAATCGGACCTAATTAAATTCCAGAGCTTCTGTACAGCAAAAGAAATAATCATTAGGGTGAATCAGCAACCAACAGAATGGGAAAAATTTTTTGCAAAATACCCATCTGACAAAGGACTAATATCCAGAATCGACAATGAACTAAAACAGATTTACAAGAAACAAACAAACAAACCCATCCAAAAATGGGCGAAGGATATGAACAGACACTTTTCAAAAGAAGACATATAGGAGGCCAACAAACACATGAAAAAATGCTCATCATCTCTGATTATTATAGAAATGGAAATCAAAACCACGTTAAGATACTACCTCACACCGGTTTGAATGGTGATCCTCAAAAACTCTGGAGACAAGAGATGCTAGAGAGGATGTGGAGAAATAGGAACACTTTTACACTGTTGGTGGGAGTGTAAACTAGTTCAACCATTGTGGAAGACAGTGTGGTGCTTCCTCAAGGATCTAGACATAGAAATTTCATTTGACACAGCAATCCCATTACTGGGTATATACCCAAAGGATTAAAAATCATTCAATTATAAAGACACATGCACATGTATGTTCGTAGCAGCACTGTTTACAATAGCAAAGACCTGGAACCAACCCAAATGCTCATCAACGATAGACTGGACAAGGAAAATGTAGCATATATACACCATGGAATACTATGCAGCCATAAAAAATAATAAGCTTGTGTCCTTTGTAAGGACATGGATGAATCTGGAAGCCATAATTCTCAGCAAACTGATGCAAGAACAGAAAATCAAATACCGCATGTTCTCACTCATGGGCAGGTGTTGAACAGTGAGAACACATGGACATAAGGAGGGGAACATCACACACTGGAGTCTGTTGTGGGGGCAAGGGAGGGACAGTGCGGGGTGGCGGTGGGGAGGTTGGGGAGGGATAACATGGGGAGAAATGGCAGATGTAGGTGACAGGGGGATGGAGGCAGCAAACCACATTGCCACGTGTGTACCTGTGCAACAATCCTGTATGATCTGCACATGTACCCCAGAACCTAAAGTATGATTAAAAAAGAGAAAAAGAGAAATGGTGGAAAGAGATATACCACACAAAAACGAATTAAAAGAAAGTAGCTGTGTCTGACAAAGTGGACTTTAAGGCAATAAGCATTGCTAAAGATAAAGAGGTGTCTCCTTAAAGATAAAAGCTTCCATTCACCAGGGAGATACAACAATTCTAAATTGGACTTGGGCACAAATTTGAGCGTTCTCACTTATTAGTGTAAGACACACAGCTAATTTCTAAATCTTCTAAACCTCGGACTTCTCATGCATAAAGTGAGGATTATCATAGGGCTCACTAATAACATAGTTTCAAAAATATATCATGCCAAAATTGAGATCAAAATAATAAACATATATTACATGGGAGACCTTAATGTACTTCATATTATTAACAGATTAAGATGAGAGAAAAAGAGAGCAGTACGAATAGCAAGCATTTAATCAACAGGATCAATATATCTGTCCTCATGGATATATGCAGAATGCCAAACCTAACAACTGCAGAAATCATGCCAAACATTTAGGTACAGACATTGTGGGAAAATGTAATAGTGAAATGAGCAGACCGACAATCAGAAGATGTTAATAAGAGCACTAATAATGGGGCTGGCAAACATGTCTTTACTGATTTCCAAAAGCTTCTTACAGTAAACATGAAATCACATAATTTCTTCCACTTCCCTACTGTCTCTTGTTCTGGGCTGTGTCCTGCTTATTGTCCAGTACCTTAGCCCCTTAAAAGTTGCTAATCTTCCGAACCTCATTCCTGTGACTGGGCCCCTCGTCCTTGTTCATGGGCCTTGCAGATACTGACTGCATGCTTATCTGGAGCATGCAGTGGCTACTACTTGACCCAGATTTCTCGCTGTGCTCCTCCCACCTAATGGGATTTGCTCATACCTGTATGGGACCCCTCCCATCTTCCCCAGCTGAATACTTACCAAGACAATACATTGCCATACTCCTTTGGACTCTGCTCTGGGCATCAGTCTGAATGTTTCTATTGGGCATCTGCAGCTGGATCAGTTCCCTGAGCACTGTCCAGCCTCTTCAGCATGGCTAGTCCTAGAGCAGAGAATTAGCCTTTCTGTCTCTGCTGCTCTACAGGCCTGGACAAATCTTATGATAATGCAGGCTGCAGGAGGCAGGAATCAAATTTTTGCTCATTATATAGTGCTCCAATTATTTAAATATTGGACTATAGAATATGTCACTAATCTATACTCAGGTGGGTTCCCTATTACTCAGTCCACTGAGGCCAGATCGTGGGATTAACTGTCGAAGAGAGAGTTTTAGTCTGCAGAGCATAGGTCATTCTGAGAATTGCTAGCCCACACTTGTGTGGAGACCTCCAGAGAACAGGATCTGGGTTGGTGCAGGGTACTACCAGGAGGAGAGCAGTGGCAGGAGGTGACACGCCTGTCCTCAGGATGCCCAGCCCCACAGTCAGAGGGGAAGGGGCAGGGCCACATGCATGAAGATCCTCTCCCCAGTATGTGCCAATGACAGGGTTTTCTATCTTTTGGGCCAAGGAAGGAATGTGAAAGCAAAAAGCACGATTTTCTCCTCCCTTTGCATGAAGACTGAGCAGTTTTACCAGATTCCCAGGGAAACACCCTTTCACTCTGGGTTGAATGTGAGTGAGAGACATTCAGGGGTAGAACACTAGAAAAATTATTTTCTGAACCACTTGCCATTAGCCCTAGAAAGTGCTGGGTTTGTCCTTCTTCCTTGTCACAGTAGAGACTGCTGAGCATCAGAACTTGGGCTCTGGAAGTAGACAGACTTGGTTACAAATCTGAGCTCTCTCCCTTATTAGTGTGGGACATAGAGAAACTTTAAAAATCCTTCCAAACCTCATACTTTTCATGCATGATGTGAGGATTGGAATAATGCTCACCTAATAGGGGTTCTTGAGAATTAAAAAAGTTAACAATGAACAGCATTCAGCAAGATACCTGACTATTGAGAAAATCAAAAATTGTTTGTTATTGATGTTGTGATTATTAATCATCCATTCTGCACCTTCTGACTGGGATATCATGCCATCAGAATGGGATGGATTCCTGCATGGGCTGGGCCAAGAGTGCAATAATGGAGGAGTGAAGAAGGAAGAAGTGGAGGCAGAAAGCCCCCAGGAGTCCAGTATGGTACAAGGCTGAGCTAATGCTGCAGGGGCTTCTTGGAAAAGCCTCTGGGCTTGCGCCTGGCCCTGGAGGAACTTCTTCCAGCAGGCGGGGCCAGCTATAAGAGTAGCCAGGAGATTTCCCAGGGTGTGGGCTCCTAGAAGTTCATTTGGACCAGGCCTGCATAGAGAGGGATCGTAACAGGGACCCTTCACTACTGGCAGGTGATTTACCCTTCAGCGAGGAGCTCAGGCATTTGTTTGATGGAAGGTGGAAGGCCCTATGCTGAGCCAGTGACTGTCAGGGATGGGTGGGTGGCTGGAAAACAGGAAATAAGACTATATGATAGCACAGTAATCACCACACTGTGTGGAACATTCTCTTGAGAGTTTTCCCTCTGTTAATACTTCCTATGGCCCAAATAATAACAACAACAAAAAATTGGTGTAAATTCTTGAAATAACTTGTGGATGATGGAACAAGACCGCCCTCCCCCCACCACCAACTCAGAGCTGCCAGAAGCTTCAGGTGAGGGTCCAAAATGCCAAAATGTCTTGTATCAGAGAGGATGGCCAGTGACCTGAGGACACATGCCATATTTGCTGTGTCACCCAAGGAGCAGCAGCCTCAGCGCTGCACAGTCACCAGGACCCTGGCTTCCCACACTGGGTAGGTGTCTGATAAAGGGCATGCTTGGCAGCCCGTGCTGTCTGTCTCCTCTTGTCAGTTTATCTGGCATTTCTGTCAAGTGGCCACTTGAATTTCTTTAAAGGTGGAATCTCAGTGGGGTCTAATCTGTTCAGAAATATCAAAAGAGTATGTTAAGCACAGAATTTATACATACATACATATGTATAAAACACAAACACACATATTTATATATGTTATGTGTGTTATATGTGTATTGGGCAGGGAGAAAGGCCTTTGGTTCCTTTGTATCTGCACAGCACAAGGAAAGGCACAGAGTGACTACGATTTACAGTTGATTTATTTACATGAAAGATATTCCCTTTTGCACTTTAGGCCATATATATGTGTATGTGTGTGTGTGTATATATATATATATCTTACATATAATAGTGTAAAAGTGGAAATAACTCAAATGTTTAAAATTGAGGATTAAACTATGACCTGTTCATATGTGACATACAAGTGAGCTGTCCCTTGCTCTCTTGAGCTTCAACCTCCTACAAACAATGTCCCTTGTATACCAGTATTGGTACAGAGAATTGAACTTGTTGAGGTTTTATATGGGGCAATAAAGGCGAGAGCTTACTGTAAATACCCGATACTATGCTACATAGCACCCCCTTTTACAGACAAACTCTTCTCTCTCATTTCTCTTCCTTTCCGGAACCACTCGGTGCGATCTCTACAAGTCTATATTGCAACTACCTCAACATGGCACACTACCCCCAACTCCATCTTCCCCATCCTGAGAGCAATGGTCAGCTGCCCCCACACTCACATCCTCATTCATTCCAGAAGTCAGCACCACAGAAGTGCCCACACATACCCCAACCACCTTCTTAGAAGATAAGTTAGTGGTTGCTTTGACTTTTAAAAATTTTTACTTCGTCTTTTCCTTCACAATCTCATCCCATCCCAAGAGGTTTATCCAGAAGCTCTCTAAAGATATGTGTGTCCTTATTAGGAATTTAACAGACAAATCAGGAATTTTTATTCTAGCCATCAAGGGAATAACATTTTACCAGGTCTTTAGACAAATAATGGAATACCTTGTAGTAATTAGATATACTACTGTAGAAAAGTATTGATGAAATGGAACAATGTTTGAGATATCATATTGAGTAGAAAAGGCAAGATGCATTAAGTAGGAAATGTAGCTTACAAAATAATTTGTCAGACACATTCCTATATTTGTATGTTATAAATGTGTACGTGAAGAAAGGCTAGAAGATGAGACCACAGTCTTCAGTCAAGTTTAAGAGATGACGCTGCAGCATGCTCAGAAAGGCCTGGGTTATAGTGTTATAGTTCTCCCAGCAATTAAGGATGTGATCCTGGGTAAATTGTGCATCCTCTCTAAACTGCACTGCCTTTTGTGTGTAAAACAGGAAGGATGGTATTTACTCCCAGGGTCATCAAAGGATTTGGTTGGAGAAGAAGAAAAATGGGCTGAGCCCAGACCTGGCACAGTGAGAGCACTGTGGTTAACTGTTGTGCTGGATTGTTGTTCCTGTGTTATTGACGTGCTGCTGGTGGTGGTCCAGAAGCTATTACTTTAATTGGTTATGTGGATTTTCCTTCATGCTGACTAGCTGTGTGTGACATTGTAAAACATAGCCATACACTGTAACTGGCAAAGGCAAATGCAAGGAAGTACAGGTAAATAGCTAATGGGATGCAGAGGGAAGCTAGTCCTTGGAGGGCTTGATCAAGGAATGTCACTTGTGAAGAAGAGGGGACAGAGAAGAGGTGTAGGGCAGCGTTAGTACATTGCAGAGTGTACCTGGAAGGAGACATGAAAGGAGGACATTTTTCTCTGGAACGTGGGGACTCTATTTGCATAAACCCTGGGATTAGGGCAAAGAACCATCATGAGAACAAGGGCTTCCCTGAACCTCCCATGCTCATTGACTGACTAAGCTCTGCACTTCTTCTTTCCTTCACTCTTGTCTTTTTCCTATACCTCTGTTATTAGACTGGACTGGCAACCACGTGATCTATCCCAAGTGCCTTGAAATGTGTTGAATGGGTGTGGCACGCCCTCAGCAGAGTGGCATTACCCCACAGGAATTTGTTTATACCCTTGGCATGGAAAATAGCAGGAAATGAATGATGACTGATAACTGAGGATGCTATTTATTATTGTCTAATGGAATACTGTATTGTATTTACAAGACACTCCCAATTTGTTGATTCTGAATGAGTACCAGACCTCTCCTTTAAATATGGGATCCTGAGAACTGAAGGCAAGTGGAGTTCCAGGAGTCCAAGACGGAGCCACTGACCACGAGGATCCCTGGCCCAGGTAGGTGATCCTCCTGTGCTGCCTTTCAAGGCCAACAGGCATGGATGGGGAAGTAGAGTAGTGTCTGGCCATTTAGCCCCCTTGCTTTTTATCCCCACTGGAAGCACATCTTAGTTTCTAAACATGATCTCTAAGACCTCCCCGGAATACCTTGCTCTCAGTCCCAGTAGCAGTCTGCTCTCTCCCAGGAGGGCTTCCACCAACAAGCAGGGCATTGCCAGGGGGCCAGGCAGACACTAGCTTAGGAAACCTGCAAATCCTGGAAATGCTTGTCCCTTCTCTGAAGGCTCAGTAGACTGACTTCAGAATCTAGAAAATATTGGTCCTTGGAAACAGATTTTGGGTGCAAAGAAATGGATTTCAGATGGCCAGACGCACTGCTTCTTTAGGGAGTTCTGTGAAAGCTCCCTGCATTTATCTTAATACAGGTGGCAGATTTCATGTGTACCCCCCAGGGATGGCTCCAGGTCCTCCAGCCTGAGTATCCTTCTGTCCTTCAGCAGCACCACAGTATCTTTATGTCTTTGGATATCTACATTTCTGCAAGACATCTCTTGCTCTGATGTCCTGGCTGCCAAATTCTCTGTCAAGTGCCTCCAACTTTCTGTGTCCTTTGATTTACCCCAACATGACAGAGGCAGTTATGCTCCATGTATTCAGGGTTACTGCCAAACCACAAACAGGTCAAGACCAAATAGTTGATATCCCTGTCCCTAACGACCCGCCAGCTCCACCCACCTACTCCTGCTCACTGTTCTTACTGTTGAGTCCTGAAGCCCTTCCTTGTCATTTTTTTTTTTTTTTGAGACAGAGTCTCACTCTGTTGCTAGGCGCCAAGCTGGAGTGCAGTGGCACAATCTTGGCTCACTGCAACCTCTGCCTCCCGAGTTCAAGCAATTCTCCTGCCTCAGCCTCCCGAGTAGCTGGGACTACAGGCACACGCCACCACGTCCAGCTAATTTTTGTATTTTCAGTAGAGATGGGGTTTCACCATGTTGGCCAGGATGGTCTCGATCTCTTGACCTTGTGATCCGCCCGCCTTGGCCTCCCAAAGTGCTGGGATTACAGGCCTGAGCCACCACGCCGGGTCTTCCTTGTCATTTTTATTTTTTTGCACGAACAGTTTAGTTCCCTTTGTCTCACTCCTAAACCATTCTCAAAGGACTGGGTTTCGACACAAACTGCATATCTCTGTCTCTGCAATCTTAAAAGTGATGTGATTTTGAACAAGTCACTTAACTTCAGATTTTTCATCTGTAAGATAGGACTACCAGTTTTTGCTCCATTTCTGTCCTATGTTGGCCTGGAGTGATGTTGTGAAAACATCCTTATCAACTGAGATAGGGTGTGCAAAATTTGTATATATGAATATATCTCCACCAACTCCTCCTAATGAAGCAATCTGATCCTAAGATATTACAGATTGAGCCTCCTGGGAATTTTGGTGGCTTAGGTTTTCATGAAAAGAGGTTGCAGAGCAACTGCTTTTTGTTAGACCAAGATTAGGCTACTGCAGAGACTCAGCAAACTTTTACAGAAGGTGTCAGATGGCAAGTAATTTAGGCTTTGCTGGCCAGATGATCTCTCAACTACTCAGCCATGCTATTGTAGTCTCAGAGCAGCCGGAGACAATTTGCAAACAGAGGCATGGCTGTGTTCCAATAAAACTTTATTTAAAAAAACAAGCAGGGACAAGATTTGGCCAAGGGCCATGGTATGCCAGCCCCAAGACTAGAACAATGCACTTTTAACTTTTAAAATTCTACTTCATTTTTATAAAATGCCAAGATCCACAAAATTGTGATTGCACCCCATGTGTTAGCACTGTGACTCAAACAATTTGGAAAATTTCTGCTTTGAAGGCATGATAGACAGGAGAGCATGGTCTGGCCTCTTGGGGCCTTTCTGGTTGCAGCGAGCATTTCTAACTAGAGAGCAAGTCCAGTGGCCTGTTCAGCACTAGGGATATCCAGCAAGGTGTCCTGGGGTCAGAAGATGCCATAACTGGTCCCCTGTCTGTCTCCTTAGGTCTTGCACTTCATTCCATTTTCTGTTGAGTAATAACTCATGTTGAAAATGTCCTTTGTGGAGGAGAACTCAGGAGTGAAAATGGGCTCTGAAGACTTGGAAAGAGATGAACCCCAGTGCTGCTCGGAAGGTAAGGTTCTTCTGGAAACCCATCCCAGGGCCGAAGTGTAATTCCTAAAGTGGACTTCGCTAGGTGCTGTGTACAGACCCAGCTGTTTCCTGCTGACCTTGCAGAGTAAGTGAGCTTTCAAACTTCCCTGGACAAATAACTAGACAAGAGAAATTCTGGAAGGAAAAAGAAAACTTTGCTGCAGTGTTCAGGCGCATCAGGTGGTAGATAAAAGGATCATTCTCACCTACAGATTTGGGCTTTAATGTCCTGTTTGTCAACTAGATGGTTGCATATCCTTCTTCTTCCCTCCCAACCTTAACAGGTGGAAGAGTAGCCTTCGATGAGAAGCAACTCTCTGAAGCTGGGTTGGAAAAATCACCCAGGCACGGGGCATCTGAGAATTCCATGAGGTGTTCCATTCGCATTTGGGTGTTGCCCATGGGGGCAATAGGAGGAGGCTTTTGACCCAAATAACTGTCTACTAGGATGTGAAGGGAGAGGCCTGTAACATGCCAGAGGCCAACCCCCCGAGCCAGTTCATCTCCATTGTTCTATGTTTTTGATGAGGAAAGCTATGATTTAATGTCATTACTATTATGCTGCTCTAGTATTTCTCAGCAAGTGCACAGAGGAGAAAACTAAATGGTCCCTGATACCCCTAAATCCTTGGGAAATCCCAATTGCTTATGCTAATCTCACTGCATCTGACTGCAGACCCAGCTGGAAGCCCCCTGGAGCCAGACCCATGCCTCCCCTCCATGAATTTTGTTCACTCAAGTAAGGCTGCAGGTGAGTGATGGGGGTGGCTGGGGTGTGAGGGTGGGGATGGGGAATGGTGCCACTTAGGAGGCGGGAGACTTATAGACTGGGGATACCTAAGGGTGCTGGATGGGGCTGAGATCTTCCCTTTGTAGAAGCAGATCCCCTCAGGAGAGACTCTGGGAAACATGGGCCTAGGGAGGGACAAGTGATGCTCACCTGCCAAGAGGCACAGGGCAAGGAAGAGTTTGTGCCTGGGAACCTTCCAGGTACCTCTTCTGACCATAGTCAAGAGGCTGGTGACACAGACCTCCTCCCAGCACTGATGACAAACAGCCATGTGGCCAGTGGGGGTGCAGGGACACCCACACCATCAAGGTCTCAGGGCGACGTCTTCAGAGCCTGAACCTTCCTCTCATGCTGCCATACGAACAGCACAACACCCCAATAGGAAATTGTTAATATCACCACTGTTCATGTGTGGAAACCGAGACAGACAGCGGAGATTCGCTGCACCAGGTGACACTGGTAGTACGTGGCAGATGTGGAAATTTAAAGGTACTATAATGTCTGTCTGCTCAACTCAGGCTTAAGGCTCCCATTGGCTCCTCTTCTCAGGACAGAGTCAGGAGACCTCAGTCTGAGCCCCAGATAGTGCAGGCTAATGTGTGAATACTGAGCCTCACTTTGTCAGTAAAATGACAAAGAGGACCAAATGGGACCAGGTGTGTAAGGGTGCCTGGTACAGTAGGGGGAGGCTGCTGTCACTGCCTCCACCACTGCTGCCAGAGTTACCTTTGATGTTTTGGTTGTTTGTAGTTACACCATTGCTGGCTTTGGATCTGCACTGTGTCCACTCCAGGTGCAACCTGGAGGTTCCAGGCACACACGCCTGTCTGTTGGGCCTGTCCTGACTTCTTGTCAGGGCTGGGATCTCCTTCATATCTGGGGGGAGTAGTTCTCAAAGTCTGGTCCTCAAACCGTCAGCAGCATCAGCTCCTAGAACAGTGTTAGGAATGCAGATTCCCAGGCCCCACCACAGACCTCCTGCACCAGAAACTCAGGGGGCTGAGGCTTTAGAGGCTGCTTTAACAAGCCTTCCAGGTTATTGTGGTACACCTTAAAAATCTGAGAGCTACTGCCCTACAGAAAATTACTATTGCCTTAAAACCGGCACTAGCACTGATGTTACTGCTGCTGTGGGAGCACCACTTCCCTATAGAAAACAACTTCCAGCGCCTTAAAATCACTCACAGCTTCAGAGTGGCCTTGAGAAAGATTTGGGGTCAAGAATGATGAGCAAGAACACCACTTACGAGGATAGTAAGCTTGTCTACATGCAAGATGCGGAGATGATAGGACTGAAACAGAAATAAAAAAACAAGTTTAAGAAACACTTAAGAGGTACAAAGTAAAATGATGATGCTAGAAAAGCAGCTTCTTAAAAATAGCATTTTTCCAGTCTCACCCTGGACTAATTGAATGAGAATCTCAGGGGTTCGAGGCGCAGGTATCCATGGTCTTAAAATGCCACCCACCAGGTGATTCCCAGTGTGCGCCAGGGCTGAGAGCCACCGCCCTAGGCCATGCCACTCAGAAGTCCTCAGACCAGCAGTACCCATAGCTCTGGGAGTGCATCAGAAAGGCAGAGCCTTGGCACCACCCAGACCTACTGAACCATAGTTTGCAGGTGATTTCTTGCACATCAAAGTGTGGGAAATGGAAAGGCTTAGAGTTCAGCTGGCTCAGTAACTTTCAGTCAACCTGCATCTGCCCCATGAACTCAGAATGTCTGGGTGGGGCACAGAAAAGCTCCTGAATTGATTCTGATGTAATGCAGGGCTGAGACCCTTGGACCTCATCTGACCCCATATCACTGGGGAGTTACTTAGGGTCTCACCTGGGGCCAGTCATCTCTTCCATAGGCACCGAGTGTCCACGATACTTGGGGCACTACAGGGCGGGAGGTGGAGGATCACAGGTGAGTCAGACAGGGAGCCTGCTCCTGGGGAGCTCACAGTGCTACAGGGAAGCAAGACAAAGACACCAATACCTGTGTGCAAGTACCACCGATGAGTGCAAAGTGCTGCAGCACCAGGGAGGAAGCCACCCTGTGCAGAGGGGGCCGAGGAGGGCTGCAGGGAAGAGGTGGCTGGAGGGCCGGTGTTACAGGAGGAGTCCTCTCCACTGTCTGGGCATGAGGAGATGAAGAGGACATTCCACAGTGAGAAACTCAGGGAGCGGCTGTGTGCTTATGGCATGGGAGGAGAGTAACATCTTAGAATTATTGTCTGCATTAGAATTGCCTATCACAGATACCCATATTATAGCTTCACATAGTGTGGTGGTTACTGTGTTATCATATTGTGACATTTGCCATCTTCACATATTTCACATATTTGTGGCATATATGTGAGTATTTATTACATGCACAGAATGTGTATTGATCAAGGTAGTGTTTGAAGAATTCATTGCCTTGAATATTTACCACTTCTCCATGTTGGAAACATCCTCTAAATATACTATGTACTTTTTTGTCACTCTGCTGGTGTGAATCACCATCATCATCAGGATCAGAAACATAAGCAGCCAACCTCGTGAGAGTTCTTCCCATGCATGTCACCTCACTTGAGCCTGTGTGCGGGGGTTGTTGTCCCTACTCCTCCTTTATGCCTCAGTTTTGTCTTCCTGCCCACCACCCACACACCTTTCTCCTGGGATTAGCTCTCCACGTCTGCTTGAGGAGCATCACTGGCCTCGTGGGATACAGTCTTGCAGGGAGTGTTCATCAGCGTGCTCTGCCTTTCATTGCCAAATGAGTTGACACATGACCCAAACTAGGGCAGTCACATGCTCTGCTTGGAATCTCAATCTTTTGCTAACTGACAAAAAGCATGATTGGCTCTTACCCATCTGAGTGGTGGTACCAACGTTTTCTGGGTTCTGTCATTTTTGGCCTGCCAGAAATCTCTGACTCTTATTCTTCAGCGTGTCTTTCCATTTTGAAAGTTACTTCACATGATAGGCAGAATAATGGAACCCCGAAAATGTCCACATTCTAATCCCAGACCCTGTGAATATGTTACCTTACATAGTAAAAGGGACTTTGTGATTAAAGTTAAGCCCCTTTGAGATGGGACAGTATCCTGGATATTGAAGTGGGCCTGATGCAAATCGCAAGTGTTCTTACATGTGAAAGAGGAAGGCAGGAGAGTCAGAGTAAAGCAGTGTGAGAAAAACTGAAGCAGTAAAGATGGGAGGGGGCCACTAGCCAAGGAATGCAGGTAGCTTCTGGAAGTTGGAAAAGGCAAGGAAATTGACTGTTCCCTAGAACCTCCCAAAGCAACGCAGTCCTGCTGATACTTTGATATTGGCCCAGTGAGACACATTCCAGACTGACCTCCATAACTGCAAGATAAGACATTGCATTGCTTAAACCACTAAGTTGGTGGTAATTTGTTACAGCAGCAGTAAGAAATAAATATTCCCAAGACCCTTCTAGAAAACTCCTTTTTTAGTATACTTTTTGCTTAAATAAGCTAGAAGTGATTATTATTGCTTGTAACTGAAGAGCTAAAACTAATAAACTAATTTCCAAGCCTCAGTCCCCTGTCTCCACCCCCTCACTCTGTTTCCAGGCCCTGATTTCCATTTGGCCAGACTTTCTATGCCCCATTATCAGGATCTGAGCCCTGCTTAGTGATATGACCGTTTCCTTGTTAACAGCCCTCCCAGACACTGACTGACTGGTCTCCTATCATCTGACCCAGATTCCTTGTCTTTGTGCCTTTTCACAGGCCAGGTCACGCTGCTCCTTATCTGGGACCCAACTGCCCCTTTTCTGTTATCACTTAGCTTGATGGTGGCTGTTGCATTTCTTTCTTGCACATAATGCCTTAAACATGGAGTCAGCCACTTCTTCCCCAGGATCAACGCCCTCGGCATCTACCAAACCCCAGTAGGAAGGACTGATTCTAGAGCATAGCATGCACCCAGATGCTCCTTCCTCTTGCAAGTATCACACTCAGACTGGCCATATCATGGCATATGACACGCACATGGATGTCTGATGGTTCAGGGTAGCAGTATACAAGTAGAAGCTGGGCTCTTTCCAACCCAGAACTTTCTAATTAAACAATCTTCTTGCTATTTCCTAAAAACACAAATCCTTAAAGTATGAATGAGAAATGAAACACACTGATATAAAGGTTAGTGAGCAGGATTTCGGTTTTTATATAATTAGGCCAGTTAGCCAGGAAAGCATTTGATGGGGTAGTTTCCTAATCGCTGACCTCACTGGGGCTCATTTCAGGTTTGCAAACTGGATGAAATGAAAATTCAATGTGTTTCTTATGCTCATGTTTATCTGTTACTCCAACAGGTTCATTACAATTGCAGGAGGTGCAGACAAACCATCCGGGGTGAGCCACTGACTCCAGCAAGTTCTGGGAGCCCACCTGACTCCTATAAAAGATGAAGGGACGGCGTGCCGATTCCTTTTGATCAGCCGGCTTCATCAGTTTCTTATTCTGTAAGGTAAAAGAGATTAATTATATAGACAGGCTTTGAGAGGGAGAAACACCCAGCACATGTGCTTATCCTCCAGGCCTTTACACAGGAGTGGAGGAAAAGAGAGAAGGCAGATGGTCCTTGGGGAAGACAGCATGTCAGCCTTGGTACTGGAATTTAAGGGACGATAAGTAATCATGCCTTCTTTTCTATGCCCTCTTGTCCCCCAAATTAAAAATAAATTGAGACAGATGTAAGAGTCAGATGGACACCGAAATCTCAGCTCTATAGTTTTTAAAGTTAGGTTAGAGAATATGGCTTAGATCTGCATCCAACTGGGCTTCATAAGATTTCTCCCCTCAAGTGAAAGGATGCTCCATCTAGGACTAAATTTGCAGAGCAGACACACTGCCCTCTGTCCTGCTCCATCCCCTTCCAACCTGGAAGTCAGGCTGGCAAGTCACTCTGGCGTGGGTCACTCATTGCGTCCAGTGAGGCTCCACCAAGATAGCAAATGCACCAACACCTTACCAAAGCACAGGCCCTGTGTACTGTTGACTTCTTTGTCAGAAGGCTCAGGATGTCACAAAAGGCATGGTTGTGGTGATCGCATATGTGTGCTACCCCATTTAATGCTACAACCTTCTCTCACCACAGCACTGCTGACTCCCGTTTGCCACGTCTGATTTTTCTCACTCTATCATGCTATATAGTTTGCTTCTCACATTTATTGTTTGTGTCTCCCACTAGCATGTAAGCCCCACAAGTGCTTTGCTCTCTGATGTATCCCAAGAACCCACTGCAGTGCCTGGTACTTGTAGGAACTCCCTAAGATTTCTATAAATGAAGAAAAGAATAAAAGAGGGAGGGAGGGAGAAAGGAAAGGAAGGCTTCTATTTAAATGATGGTCTCCTCCTTATTTCTATAGTAATATGACTTTCCTCTGTAAAGCAGATGCATTTTGGAAAATGTGTATAAATAAACTCAGGTGGTTTGAATTTCATTTTCCTAATTGTAATTGTAATCATGGGTTTTTAGGTTTAGTGAAAAAGTTTTGGCCCTTGTGCATTACTCCTGAGAATCCCAAAGTATTGGTTTGCGAGGGCTCCCATAAAGAACCATAAACTGGGTGGCTTAAAACAACAGAAATTTATTGTTTCCTGGTTCAGGAAGCCAAAGTTTGAGCTCCAGGTGTTTGTTCATTCTGAGAGCTCTGAGAGAGAATCCGTTCCAGGCCTCTCTTCAGTTTGTGACAGCTCCAGGGGCTCCTCGACTGGTGGCATCTTCACATGGCTGTCTTCTCTCTGTGTTTCTGTATGCAGATTTCCCCCTTCCTAAAAGGACACAGTCATACTGAATTAGGGCTCACTTGAATGACTTTATCTTAAGTTGATTGTATCTGTAAAGACTCTATGTCCAAGTAAGGTCACATTCAGCTACTGTGGGGTAAGACTTCAGTGTATCTTTTCAGGGAACATAATTCAACTCATAATACCGAACATTATAACTGTTCATCTCATGAAATTTAATGTCTCTCAAAAGGTGATCTCAGGGCATTTGATCTGCAGGAGAAACTCCCATAGGAAACATTCCAACCAGTGCTCCTTTCACAGCTGGTCACTCCTTCTACCCCATCCAAGGTCCTGGGGCAGCGCGAGGCAGGTGGGACAAGAGGAAGGCTGTCTTGGGAGTAGAAAGAGAAGACCCTTATTCACCCTGCACTCTGTTTGGGAATGAGCTATCCAGCATAGACTATAATAAATAGCTTTAGGAGTGGTAGACTCTAAATATTTTTTCATCCCAGTTATCCTAATCAATTAAACAAAGTCTAGGACAAGTCTTGAAATGTGGGCATTGGTACCTTATGAAACTTACACAGAATTCAAAAATTTACAAGGGCTAAATAAAATAGGAACTGACATCTAATATTTTCTCCCCATATTCCCATACACTGTCTGGTTCAACCACCTCCAACCCTCACTCTCGTCCTGGTGGACACATGCATAATGGTGTGAACAGCTGGTTCTTAGGGGGCGGTGAGGGTAGATATACAGCTTTTGCCAATTTCCATGGTGTAACTACTCCAAATATGGCCACTTTCAAGCTACCAATATGGCACAGACACAGAATTTGGAAGAGATGTTAACGATTGGCTATGGCAAGCTGATTTAAGCGAGCTCCTGCACATCACCACCGCCACTTTTGAAACCCTTGTGTTAGTGCAGGGGTTGGCAAACTGCAGCCTAAAGGCCAAATACAGTTTATTTCCTGTTTGTGTGATTTGCTAACCAGCCCTGTTGTCTATGGCCTTCTTTGTGCTGTAACAATAAAGCATGTGGCAGGATATATAGAATCTGGCACTCTATGAAAAGCGCTGACTCCTGCTCTACAGGACAAGAGACCAGAGATTGTCAACAGCTTCCAAACGTTCATCCCTGAGTCATTCTGGAGCCTGAAGCACAGTTTCCACCAGACGGCTGCAATGCATGATAGTTAGGTTTTCCACCTCTCACCCAAAAATCTACTCAATTTTTTGCTGCAAAAATGTTATCATCATTATTTCTTCCTTAGCCCACATTCCCTCGGCAATTTTCCATAGGAAAATCCATTCTAAATTCCAACAAATCAGGGGATTTGGAGCCTCTGGACACCTCCTTGTTCCTTGCTCACAGCCCTTTGCAGAAGTTGCCTCATCAGAGAGGCTCCATGCAGGGGCTCAGGACAGGATCAGAGGTCAGTTGCAGCAAGGGGGCAGGGAGAGATTCTCTCTGCTGATGATGCAGAGGAGACTGTTCAGCACACTCTCATAGTCCTGGTGATTCCTAATCCATAAGAGAATTTTCACATGCATTGGGTAATTGTCACATCAGCTCAACACTGCGAGGAAGGCAGGGTGAGAATTTGTGTGCACATTTTATAGGTGAGAAAATAAGACGCAGAGGTATCAAGCAACTGGACCACAGTTGTGCAGCTTTTAAGTGGCAGACTTGCAGGTGTTGTGACTCCTAGTCCAGAGTTCTTTGCACTGCCCCTGAAGTGCTAAAACTCTACTATGCTTTAAGACTCACTGGGGGAGCTTCCTAAAAAGAGAGATTGTACAATCTGAGATTCTTGCTTAACTGTTTTGGGATGTAACTCAGGGATCTAGCTGCCTTAAAAAAAACTCCCAAGTAATTCTGATACAAGCGGTTCTTTCTTGTCCATCCTTTGAAGAAACACTGCCTCCTCCCACACATTTCGTTAGAAAATGGTGACATGCTTTTCAGGCTGAGAACTATTTCTAGGTGACTGGACATCAGTAGCCCACTGTACTGGCTTTCAGTCTAGTCTTTTACACACACGATAAGAGATGTCCTACTCCAGATGATATGTGTCTGAACCATGGAAACATTTCATTGTGTGGCATACCCACACTCTTCACCCATGATGATTACATCTCCTACAGAGTTGAACAACAAAGCCTTGATTTCCTGCCTCCCTGCAGTGTGGTCATGAGGGATATACATGACCAGGAACATGTAGATGTCTTCAAAACCTGAACAAATTACTAAATTTCAAATCTCATTTCACTCATCAGTAAAATGGGGATAATAAAACCTGTTTTACAGAGGGTAGATAGGAGGAGTAAAGGGATTCAATGAAAGCTCATTAGTACCGTTTGTGGTAGCAGTATTGATAACCCTCTTTTCTGTGCACTCTCACTGGTAGGCCCAGGCCATCAGCAATGCCCAGGGTGTCATGGATCTCGGCTGCATCGGGCACCAGCTGTGCCAATGGTGAGGACAGCAGAAGGGTGAAAAGCTCCTTGCACGCCAACTGTGTTCCAGCTCGTCCTCAATTTGGTCTGGTGTCCAAGCCCTGCCTCCAGAGTCAAGTCCCACACCCTACCTCATAAGGAGAAATGTAAATAAATGGAATAGAATTGAGAGTCCAGAAATAAACTCATACATCTGTGATCAACTGATTTTCAACAAAGGTGCCGAGGACATGCAATGAGGGAAAGAATCATTTTCTCAAGAAATGGGGCTGGATAGCCACATGCGAAGAAATATAACTGGGCCCTCATCTCATACCAAATACAGAAATTAACTCAAAATGGTTCAAACACTTAAATGTAAAAGCTAAAACTATAATATTTTTAGAAGAAAACAGGGATATAGCTTTATGATCTTGGATTTGGTGGTTGATTCTTAGATGACACTAAAAGCATAAGCAAAAAAAGAAAAAAAGTAGGTAAATTGGGCCTCATCAAAAAACTTTTAGGCTGAGTGCAGTGGCTTATACCTGTAATCCCAGCACTTTGGGGGGCTGAGGCAGGAGGATCCCTTGAGCCCAGGAATTTGAGACCATCCTGGGCAATGGGGTGAGACTCTGTTTCTACAAAGAAAAAAAGATTACCTGGGTGTGGTGTACACTTGTAATCCCAGCTACTTGGGAAGCTGAAGTGGCAAGATTGTTTGAACTCAGGAAGCCGAGGCTACAGTGCACCGAGATCATGCCGCTGCACTCCAGCTGGGGTAACAGGGCAAGACCTTGTCATAAATAAATAAATAAATAAATAAATATCTCTTGATCTTATCTTCAGAGACTGACTCAACTAACTGGTCTGGGTTGGAGCCCAGCTATTGGTATTTTTTGAAAGCTCTCCAAGTGATTTTATTGTACAGCCAAGGTTGAGAATCACTATATCATAAGGTTGGGCTCCTAACTGGAAACAGTTTGCACCATCAGGAGTCACAGCATTCTGATAATGGTTAAGATTTCCTCCTAGATTTTCTGATATTGGATGAGTCATGTTTACAAGTTTTTACCAAGAGACAAACTATCTTTCTGCCTTTCTTTCTTTTACTTTCTTTTTAACTATCTTTTCTTTACTTTCTTTCTTATACTATTCTAATCCCAGAGCCCTTTGGAACTTCCACTGGTGATGAATCTAGAAAGTGACTCTCTTGGCTACCACAGAGAGTAGTGTTGGTCTGCTTGTGCCAGATCCAGCTGGTGCTAGTGGTGAGACAGAAACTCCCTGAAATCCCCTCCTCTC